GGAATGATGGAAATGGATTCTTTTCCTGAGACCTTGTCCTTTGTCTCCCCAGATTATCCAGCTCTCCTAAGGGCATCCTTCTGGCTTTTTATCTCAAAAAGACCTGATGTGAGCAATGAGGTTCCCAGTTTCTTGCAGAGTTTGCTCTTTGTCCAGAAATAAATCCAGTTCACCAAGTTGAGCTGTCAGAACTTCTCCAAGGGCATAGACATTCTTCATGTTTTCACTGCCAAATTATACGTGACACTTAATTTAAAGCTTAAGTGTAAAGCCTCACTAGTAAGGAGATTGCTGGAAGATATTGATTTTACTGCATTTCTGTATTTATGTATAAAAATGTACTATAAAGTATTGGTTAAGGGCATTATTGCTGGGCAGGCTCTGGATTTATGCTCTGGTTTGGTTCCCTCTAATGTTTTCGAGATCCATTTGGCCAGTATGGCTATGAACAACAGCAGGAGCAAATGGGTTTTCATAGAGTTGTGGGGGTTTGTGCTCCTTGAGTCAAAAAAAAACAAACCACCCCACATTGTGGAACTGAATCACCTTGAATTGATTTGCTGAAAGGAGCAGAAACTTATAATGTGATGTGTCCAGGGCTTGGGAGGCATTTTAGGTCTTGAAGTTTGTCTCAGAAGTTTGCAGACTGTTAAGGAGGGCCATGATTTTGAGCTGGGGCCATTTACCTGATGGCAAAGAGTTTTAAAATAATTACTCTAAGGAATAGTCCCAAATAACCAAAATAAGACAACCAGAAGTAAACAAACTGGTATAGCTTTGAGTCTGGAGGGACTGGAGTTTGTGTGCAGGTCCTACCAATGATGTTCTGCGCAGTATTAAAATCTGCTGTAAGGGAAGGTGGCTTTTTGGTAAATGCATTTGTGTCTCTCTTGTAGCTTGCTTGGCTGATTTTGTGTCCTCCTTGCTATTTTAATTTCCTTCGGTATGGGTAACTGCTGACTCTCTGTTCTGCTGGAGCGCAGCATTTCAGCTTTGCTGAGGGAACATCTTTTGCTGGGTTTTGACAGAGTGCTTGGCTCAAGACCATTGAGAAACAAGATTGTAGCAAAATCAGTCATTCAAGATGATGAAAGAGCAGGAGAACTAGTCCTGAGAGAGTGAGACCTCATCTGTTTGAAAAAGAACAGAGGGGGGGGTTGTTTATGGCACCTCTGTGCTGTTCTGGGGCGAACGAGGCCCACCAAGTGTTCCTTGGTGCGACTGCGAGCTGGAGGCACATTCCCAAGGAATAAATTGTTAACATTTGAAAGTGAACAGCTCAGAGGATGTCTTCCCTTACCCTTGATGCCTTCAAATCCGGCAGAGTTGCTTGTACCGGTGACAGCTCAGGTCTGAGGCACATCCCTGTGACCTGGATGATGCAGGAGTTAATGTTGGCTTAATTTACTGCTGTCAACCCCACCAGCCATCTGCCAGTAGTTCTCCAGAAAGCATTTAGAGTTCAACCGGTGCCATGAAGTTTTAACTCGTGGCTTTGTAATTTGGTCTGAGTTGTCATTTCACAGCTGTGTTATGGTGCTGTGTGATGAAAGACTTCCGTAGGAGGGGTGGCTCCATCAAGTCTCCTGGTCCACCATATAAGGAGGTCACACAAAATTATCAGGATGACCTCTGGCTTGTAAATCCCTGAATTTGGCAACATAACATGCCTCTTGTCTGTAGTTTTGATCTGGATTTTAAGTGTCTGATGAAGTCATGAAAAATTGCTAAATCTCATTTCATGACATGTGAAGGTGAGGCTTGGACTTTTGTATTTTGCTGCTTTAATAACCCTTCTTTTTTCACCTGGCCTAATAAGCTTCTGAGTACATTTGTACCTGTAATGTCCATTTCATGCCTGAGAAATTTGGTGGTTTTAGAGGCCCGTTGAAATGTAAAAACTTTAGAAGAGATAGAAATCATATTTCAAGTCTCTGAATCAAATACTCTTCTCATTCTCCCTAACCTGTTTTAGAAGATGAGTTGCTGGTATTAAAGCAGAAGTTTCCCAAAAATTTACTTTTATCTTTCTGAAGAGTTTTATTTTCTTTCTAATAACGCGATGCCCTCGTTTCCACAGCTCGGGATGCAGTGTGTGCAGTCAAGATCAAAACCTGGCCTTGCCTGGGGAACCACCATGCTTGAGCTATCTCAAGGGGATAGAGAGATGGGAGGAAGGTTCTGAATCTGGGCCCCATCACTTCCATCTCAGTTCGCTGCCTGCAGGACCCCACGTGCTTCCTTGGTGTAGTTACCCAGGGGAAAGCGCAGGGATTTAAAAAGCTGCTGAATAGTTGTCTGATGACAGTTAGCTGCATCCTAAAAGAGCTGTAAATCAGGATAGTTTCTTTGAAAACAAGCCATCAAAGACAACAGCTGTAAGTTGCTTCTAACTTTTGCTGGAGCTAATGCGATTAATTGAATGTGCTTATCAAGGCTTGGAGATAGATACCTGTCTCCTTTGTAGCATCCTCCTCTTTTGGAAGAGTTTAATGCCAGTGCACTGATCTCTGTGTCCTCTGGAGTCCCCAGTTTCAGATGTTTCAAGCAGGATTCTCTTCACTTTCTCAATTGACAGTTGTGTTATGTTATTGTTCAGCATGTTACAGGAAAACAAGTAAATCAATAAAGCTTGCTGGGTTTTTTTCTTGGAATCTATAAACTTACAGGCTGCTTAAATCTTAAATATACCCAGATGAAAGGCAGGAGGATACCTATTTTCTGTGAAATGCAAAAGCTGAACACTGGCACTTGCAGACCTGCAAAGCTTCAGACTTGATGGCGTAACCAGAAATGTGACCAATGCAGAATGTATGCTGAGTTTTGCTGACTGTCCAAATCTTTACCAGCACAAGAAGGTGGGTCTGACTCAAAGCTCAGGTGAAAAACTGCCCTGAGTTTGTTGGGTTGTTGGACATGTGAGCTGGTACCCACTTCCCAGCACATCGGTTTCTGCTGCTCAGCCTGCTGGTGCTAGCGCTTCTTTTGTCCTTTAGCCATCCACACATCTTCAATTGGCAAAGCAGGACCTTCCCTGGAAAGCATATCAATGTACTATGGACTCAATCCAGCTTCTGCTAATCCTAATGATTTAGACACCCACAGGCTTCAATGAGATCAGGCTTTCTGAGGAGATACCATCATAACAGCAGAGACACAGTGTGGCACATGCTCTTTAGCAGAAGGCTAAAGTGCTGATTTTAATAAGTTTGCAAACATCCTAGAATGTGGGATCTGCAATGGGAGGAGAAAAATGTGGTCACAAGACTTCAGCAGGGGAAACATAAGAAGGACATGGACCTGTTAGAGCAAGTCTCGAGGAGGCCATGAAGATGCTCCAAGGGCTGGAGCACCTCTCCTGTGAAGATGAGCTGAGAGAGCTGGGCTTGTTCAGCCTGGAGAAGAGAAGGCTTTGGGGAGACCTTACAGCAGCTTCCAGTGCAGACTGACAATGAAGAATAAGACTTAAATTCTCCTGTCAACAATTTGGGGACCACTCTGGCTCCTCTCCTTTCCAGAGGATGCCCACAGCATGTTGGCTTCAGTGACACTTCTACAGAGGTGGTTTTCTCAATGCCCATGTTGACCTCTTTGTGTCCAGGTCTTCCTTGGCCTCTTGGGCCAGTGCCATAAGGCCATAATGTTGCCAAACCTCCTGGGTTTTTGTTTCCTGTCTTGTCAGCTGCCTCCCCTGAATCAGCATGTGAAGTTGCCGCCTCTCCCATTTCCTTCCTCATTGCCTAGTCCCACTGTGATTAGTGCAACCTCTCTTATCCAGCAGTTCCCAGATAAAGATATCCCCAGGAGCATCTGCTGGCTCACACTAACTCTGAAAGTAAATACAAACACCACGCTGATTTTTGTCCACCTTTGCTTCTCCACCTTGAAAGGAAGAAATACCTGGGCCAGCACTGTCTGTCTGCCTTTGCCTTCTCCTGTGGGCACTAATTGCTGTGCAGCACTCCTGGGGTGGGAGTGCTACTGGCTCTGCTCTGGCCCTGCTCCACCATGGCTTAGAGCTGCATAGTTTGTTCACCTCCCTGCAGTAAATTGTTCGTGTTTTTGATGGATCTTCAGTGAAATATTTTAATGTGTTCTTGTCGAATGTTCCGTTCCCCCCCCAGCAGCTATTGACAGATGAAAGCACTAACGCTGGCTTTACATGGGAATTTAATTGTAGCAGCTGTCATGCAGATCCCCAATACAAATATTTTCCACTGTTAATGGTTTCACTGTGGGTTTTTTTTGTGTGATCAAATGTAATCTTATTTAATGGAGTTTTATTGCCATGATGCCTTATTCTTTTCACCAGGCTGGACTTTATTTTTAAATCAAGAGAGATTGTTTAGAGGTGAGCCAGAAATATGACTTAAGGGATTGAATGGGATGGGAAGCCCGGGATAAACTGAGCAATTGTAGATCAGCCAGGGCAGGTGAAGTGTAAGGACAAGAGCAGGAAAGGGGCCAGTGTGGAAGGGACAGTCAAGAAGAGGGAGAAATTCAGTATGAGTTTACACATGTATGGCTGGGGTTAAGGGAAACTGCACTGTGAGGAGTTGGAAGAGTTTTGAGAGAGGGAGGCCTTGCAAATGAGTTGTGTCCAAGGCAGAAATCATGGGTAGTTGCAGAAACAATTCAGTTCAGAGCAGCACTGGAGACATGCAGCAAGGGCCACTTCTTCAGTGGCCACAGGTGAGTCTGGCCGTGGCTGTGTGTTTCCCTCCCAGCAGCAGTGCGACCATAGGCACAGCTGTTACAGCTGGGTCCTGGCATCATGGACTGGGCTTGGCTTTTGGCAGCCCTGCGAAATGGGCAGGAGGCTGCAGATAGGAGCTGGCTGGAAGCTGGAACTGGCACTAGAATGAGCTGGTCCTTTTTGCTTAGAAACAGGTTATGAAGCAATGCCAAAATGCTGCACACACACAGCTGGAGTGTGCAGCTCCTGCATCTCTTCTCTGGGTACATACAGCCACCATAATGATCGTGTATTCATTTCCTAGGTTGTCCGAACAGAGAAGAACAGCCTGAACAACAGGTTCCTGCCGTGGGATGAGATCGAGACGGAGGCCATCCTGTCCATTGATGATGATGCTCACCTTCGCCATGACGAGATCATGTTTGGGTTCCGGTGAGTAGCCTTTGCACATGTGACCTTTGGACTGATGTTTCCTGTTGTTTTCCACATCTAGAGTCTGCTCAAATGCAGCATGGCCTCGTGACTAAAGCCAGGGCCAGAATTAGGGCTAGCACATCTCTTCCCATGGCTTTCCAACTCACTTTCTTGGAGGAGTATTATGCTCTAATGAACTGTTTAACAAGTGCAGGCAGGTGGGCTGATTTCAGCCTGTCCAGACAACCCTTAATCTCATGCTTCTTAACCTCAACTTGCCAGTTTTTGCTGTGCTAATAATGGTCTTTGGTGCCTGGCTTCCTAGGGTGGAAGGAAACAGGAAAACAAATCCAAGAGGCTGTTGCACTCCATCCTTCACATGCCATTGGCAAGGCCAGGGCATTTGCAGCCACTGAAAGACATGGTGCACATGTGCTCACAGTGGGCCGCCATCCTCTTTGCTCCCTGTGACGTTGGGATGTGACAGCGATTTTGCATGTGTTTTGCAGAGCATGGAAAAGAGAGATGTTACACGGAAAAGGCTGGTGCTGATTGCTGTTATTCCTACCCCCTTTCTGCTCCAGCATCTACATTTTCCTTTGACCTGGCAAAATACTTCCCTGGTTACGCGGCTAAGGGAGAAAGCAGTTACGTGGGCTCTGCCATGGGAGGTCTCTGCAGGCTGCTCCATCAGATCGTACAGCTCAACCTCACCGACTGCCAAAGAGGCACTGGGCAGTGAGGATGGCACAAGGAGAGCACTGGAGTTTGTATGGCTGCAGCTCGTCAGCCCACCGAGCCAGGAGCAGGGGCTGTGACTGCTGCTCAGAGCTGGCTGGGGCGCTGGTGACAGAGCCCAGCTCACTGCTCTCACCAAAATGTGTTGGCTCATGTCTGGGGGGAAGATTAAAAGGCACAAAACAGGCTCTCTCTCAGAGATGAGAAATGAGGTGTTAAAGTGATTAAAGCAGGGGAGTAGGCGTCAGGACTCCTGGCTTCCCTTCCATGCCCTGTTTCAGGGTCTTTATCTGGACTTGGCTGTTTTCTCATCCTCTGGTCTCCGTTTTCCTTCGCTCACCCACAGCGCCTGGCTGAGGCTTTACAGATTAGCCCTGGAGAGCATCAAATGAAAATTATAAGCGTCATGTATTATTCTCACTCATACCCCTGCTTACAAACACCTGGGTCTTACAAAGCCTCCCTGTGTTAGCGCATTAAGCCAGGGAAGAGATGGTGTTCCAGTGACTGAGTGAACCTCTGCCTATAACAACTGTGTTCTGTTGAAACTTTGCTTTGGGCTGTAGTTCTCAGGGCCAAAAGCCTCTTCTTGCTGTCTTCACTGCTCAGGAGCAAGGTGGAGGCGAGCACCCTGAGCAAACCTCTCTGAGGAGCACACCCAAAACGATTCTCCAAAGAAATCCTTATTTTTGTGGCTGAGCTGGGAAGAAGAAAGTGTCGCATTCATAGGAAAGTGAGACGTGGGAGAAGTGAAAGGGAATGAGTAGTTTCAACTCCAGCTTTTCAAAATGATCACACTGGATTAACAGAAACCACAGTGAACAAGTGCTTGTGGGGAGGATGGTGCCAGGGAAGCTGCTGGCAGTGTTAGTTACTCCATTTTTGTTACCAGGTTATATTGGAGTTTCATTATTTGAGTAGAGGATATAATAATGAACGTGTCTTTGCTTCTGGCTGTGTGTAATGAACGCTCAGGACTGTTGCAACCATGGTCTCTTTGGCAGGCTGTGGCTGCCCTGCAGCCATCACTTCTGTAGCTTGCCATAGGAACAGGAGATGTGGGAGGAACTAGAGAGGGATGTGAGTGGGGGCTGTCGGAGGAACATCACTGTCCCATATGGTATCCTTGACTCCAAACTGGAGAGGCATGGATTTGATAGATTGACCACTCAATGCATAAGAAATGGGCTGGATGGTTGCACTGAGAGTTGTTGTCAATGGCTCAATGTCCAAGTGACAAGTGGTGCTCCTCAGGAGTCGGTGTTGTCACCGATGCTGTTCAACGTCTTTGTAGGCAACATGGACAGCGGGATCGAACACACCCTCACTGAGTTTGCTGGCAACACCAAGCCATGTGGTGCAGTGGATATGCTGGAGGGAAGGGATGTCATTCAGAGGGACCTGGACAGGCTGGAGAGGTGGGACAGTTCAAACCTCATTTTGGGCCATGGAGGTTTTTTGTTAGTTTTCTTTTTAAGCTACAGAACAGTACTTACGGGTTAGAAAATCCCTAATTTATGAGTTAAAAACACTTTCCCTGTGAATGGGTAACTTGAATGTGCCTCTTGTAGAGGACCAAGGTGAGAAGCTCAGCTTTGTACTAAGCAACACTGGTCTGTGTTTGGGAGAGCTGACTGAGGGATGCTTCAGTTCACATCTTGCAGTTTTTAACCTCTAACAGGAGAAGGTCAACAAGTTCTGCCTGTCTGTTAAAGCTGAGATTTCTGTGTTCAGCCCTTTCCTGCCCTAGAATAGGAGGAGGAGTTATCTTAGGGTGAGCCCTTCTTCACGTGTCACTCAGGCAGCTGGGATGGCCAGTCAGCCCCTCCTACCCTCAGAGGAGCTTTGGTCTGTGGAGGTGGGTGAGCTTGCATTGAGCAGTCTGTGTAAAAAGACATCTTTTGCATGTTGGAATTTTCTGTATTTTTGTTTTTAATAATGAAATGGACTTAAAGAAGTCTGTTTAAACATCAGGTTTAAATGATGTTTATCCTTTTTGCTCAAACTACAATGTCTATAGGCCATTCTTTGGACAAGCAGTTGCTAAACCTTTGTTGTATAGGCATCTCCATCACTTGCAACCCCCTTCAAGAGCGAGTCTGTTGGTGTCGAGGGCATAGTCCTGAATGCAGTGGATCTCCTTCAGAGCCATGCTCATCTCCATATGGGCTCCCCGTCTTTGCGTCTGACTGAAAGGCTTTGTGTTTGCAGTGTCTGGAGAGAGGCAAGGGACCGCATCGTTGGCTTCCCGGGGCGCTACCACGCGTGGGACATCCCCCATCAGTCCTGGCTCTACAACTCCAACTACTCTTGTGAGCTGTCTATGGTGCTTACTGGTGCTGCCTTCTTCCATAAGGTGAGATACACAAACAGCTGAGCTTCCCCTTCCTTCTCAGAGTAACCAGAGTCTTTGTGTTTGTGGGAATGCTGGGGTTTTTTAAAGAGCACATTTTCAGGTCACAGCTCCTTTTTCCTCGCTTCCTCCAAACTGAAACACAGCCAGCAACTGGTGTGTGGCTCTCCTCGAGGAGCAGCGTATGTTCAAGCCACATGAGAAGCACCACAGTGCTGAAGCAGGCAGATGGAGTGCAGGGCCGAGCATATTCCAGTGTTGGTCATGGTGAGGGTGAGGCAAGCCACAGGGTTTGCGTGCCCTGTGTCCTTACTGTAGCACCTTGAATCTTACAGACTCTAAGTGTTGCAAGGGGTAATTTGAAGGGAAGCTGTGGGTTCTTGTGGCTGTGTGCTGACACAGGCTGGCTGGTACGTGTGGTTGGTGGCTGGTTTATGTTGGAAGGGAGCAGTGCAGGACGTGGCTCTGTGACATGTGGCTGTGTTGGAGCAGTGACAATGGGCAAACAGACCTTGAGAAAAGGATGAAGTATTTTCCAAGGGGACTGTCCTGAGCTGTCATATCACACTGTGAAGGTTAGCCACCAGCTCCTGCTGCTGTGCTGACTCTGCAGCAGCAAAGGTAACAAGATCTGAGGGGGCTGAAACCACTATTCCTCAATTTCTGAGGTGACAGGAGCCTCAGGACTCAGTGAAGATGATGGCTCTGGGATAGACTTGCTGCAGCTATGGCTACAGCAGATCTCCTTAGTGCAGGATGAGCTCCATTATGGGGAGTCTCTCTGCTGGCACCCTTGAGCTCCAAGTCTGATACATCCCAGCATGTGGTCTGGATACTCACCTGTGGTGCCACAATTGCACCAGGTCTGGTGCAGATGGCACCAGCAATGGTTAGGGACTTGCTGCATGGAACCACCTTGAGCAGCATTGTGCCTTTGTGTCCTCTCCAGTACTACGCCTACTTGTACTCATACGTAATGCCTCAGGCCATCCGTGACATGGTGGACGAATACATCAACTGTGAGGACATCGCTATGAACTTCTTGGTCTCTCACCTGACAAGAAAACCTCCCATAAAGGTAAAGCACCAGGCAGGAATTTGTGCTATTTAGTGATTGGATTGATGGCTTTCAAAGGGAAGCAGTGTGTTAGCTGATCTGGTCAGGGGTGCAACCCGGGTCACTTCCTCTCCTCTCGGCATAGCCTGGTGCAAAAGCTGTACCATACAGCACGTGCTGCCCTTACCAGAATCTGGCTGTGTCATGTCTCTAAGCACTGTGTTGCAAGAGTGATGTGCTCAAAGCTGTCAGCATGTCCCCTCTCCTCGCCCTGGGGAGATGTAGTGTGTGCATGTGTTCAAAAAGGTGTGAAAACTCAGTATAACCCTTAGAAGCAGCCAAATCCCCACCATGGTGAGCAGGCAAACTGGGCTTTGACTTACGCTGCAGCTCAGACCAGACACTTTCCTGGCTCAGCAAAGGCCCTTCTGTGCAGCTGATCCAAAAAAGACAAATTGCCTGCTTTCTGTAGCACACAGCACAAGGAGGAATGATTTCCTTGCTGATTTTGTGCAGCTTGCCAGGGACGTTTAAGCTCACCCGCATGTGGAGCGCTGTTGGTCCAAACCCTGCAGCCCAGCTGAAATTGCCTTGCCCTGGGTTAACAAATGTCACAGTTCTGAGCGTGAATTTCAGATGCAGAACATTCTGCTCTTTGCCAAAATGGGTTTTGACAAACTGCTCATTACAGCCTTGCATATGTCTCACCATGCAGGCCACCTGCCTTGGAGATGGGCCTTGGCTGTAAACATGACGGGTAGGGTTTTTTGTGTGGTGTTTTTCACATGCAGGGCTATAGTGAAGTGGAGGTTGTAGAGTTCAGTGCAGCTGAGAGGAGAATCAGACCGAAGCCAAAGGCCATTGTAATGGGATGTGTGATTCAAGGCAGACAAGGAGGCCCTTTAACCAGCATGTGGTCCCTCAGCACCTCGTGAAAACTGGATCCCCCTCCATAGATCTTACTTAGGCAGAAGTTGCTCCCTGTGAGGGTGGTGAGGCCCTGGCACAGGGTGCCCAGAGAAGCTGTGGCTGCCCCATCGCTGTCAGTGTTCAAGGCCAGGTTGGATGGGGCTTGGAGCACCCTGCTCTAGTGGAAGGTGTCCCTGCCCATGGCAGGGGGTTGGAACTGGATGAGCTTTAAGGTCCCACCCAAACCATTCTGTGATTCTGCCTGAAGGGAAGGAGCTCCTTTCTGAGTCTTTTTTTCCTGAAGCAGCTTTTCAAATGTTAAACCAGAAAAAGGTAGCTAAGCATTAGTAGGTAATTGTGCCCCGCTTTATGTCTCTGCTCTGACAGACCATGTCCATCCTCACCTGGACACCCTCCAAAGCAGTCCCAGCAGCCAGAAGAGCACAACCAAATTCGTGCCCTGTCACAGTGACAGTGTGTGGCCTGTCACACAGGACATCTAGCCATGCCCCACTGTGCAATGCATTGGGCACAGGCAGGGTGTCCCCCGAGCCAGGCTGCTGCAGGCAGTGTGTCAGTGACCATCTTTGTCCCTCTCATTGCAGGTGACCTCCCGCTGGACTTTCCGCTGCCCCGGATGCCCTCAGGCGCTTTCACACGACGACTCTCACTTCCACGAGCGACACAAGTGCATCAACTTCTTTGTCAAGGTGTACGGGTACATGCCCCTGCTGTACACCCAGTTCCGCGTGGACTCGGTCCTCTTCAAGACCCGCCTGCCCCACGACAAGACAAAATGCTTCAAGTTCATCTAGCAGCAGGAGGCAGCCGGGCGCTCCCGGCTCTCCGAGCTCCAGCCGAGGCGGCTGAGGGCACAGAGGGGCTTTGCTGCGAGGGCAGAACACCTTTTGCTATTGGCTCCGGCCTCCCTCTCGCGGAGCAAAAGGGACGTCCTGGATTTGGATGGGCACGTTTCCCCCTCCTTCCCGCTCTGCCCATGGTGACTTGACCGAGCAACAGGGAACAGGATCTCACGGCTTCTGTAAAGACACTCCCTAGGATCGTACACTGAGGAATGGCCCGTTGGCTGGTGGCTCTGCCCCTTCGCTAGCCAAGGCAACCATTCTTTTTAATTATAATTATTGTTATTTAAAATGAAAGTGGTTTAGATTTCCCGCGTGAGGGTTTTCTGTTTTTTAAAATCCTTTTCTTTGTCTCCCTCTACCTACCCTCTTTTCCACTCTGGACCTGTCTGTCTGCTCAAGGGGGACCGTAGCAAGGCCAGGTTGGAGGTGTTTCACTGCAGAGAGGTTATTCCAACATCAAGGCAGCTCTGGGCACCACCGTTGTCTCCATCCTTTCTCCCGTGGGGAGCCCTTCTCCCCTCTTGCACACCGCATCCTGGCTCGTCTTGCCCTGTGGCTACTACTGAGGACTTTAACGGTGTCATCTGCGGGTGACGAGCTCTGTGCTGTGCTCTGCTCACCACCCTCAGCCCTGCCCTCGGTGAGGGGTGAGCGGGGAAGAGGTTTGGCCCTGGAGGGTCCTTCCCTGGCTCCCAGCACCACACTGGGCCTCAGGCTGCAGCCACAGGGGAGTTCAGGTGCTGCAGTCTCCGTTCTTGGTGTCCTTTCCACTCCATGCAGTGCACAGGCAGGCACTGCTAAACCTCTGGAAACAGGGAGTGTGCCTGGGGCTTAGGGGTGATCCATCTGCAGCGCAGTGGGGGCTGGCAGTGCCCCAGGCTCATGCATTTAAGTGGGCTGCCTTGGCTGGTGGTCTTCTGCAGGTACTGAAGCACTGAAGGCAGCGGTGGAGAGTCTTGGGATTTGGCCTGGGCTTTCCACAAGAGCTTTGGGAGTTTTCCTCCTGCTCTTCAGGGCATCACTCACTGGCCCTGGGGATCTGCTCCAGTAGCACCCCGAGATCTGCTACTGGAGCCGTTGCTGGTAAAATAAACCTCTTTCCCAAAAGCATCCAAGTGTGGACACGGGTGCTGAGCGCTGGCTCTTCAGGTGCCTGGTCCCTGCTAGCGGAGTGGGCACAGTGCAGCTCTTGGTGCCAGTGTGGTGGGTGTCGGGGTCTCAGGGCCTTCTCTTGAGATCGATTTGCATTTTGCAGGGTGGAGGAAGGAGAAGACACCAACCCCATTCTGTGCGCAGCCAAGCAGAGCTGAAGTGAAGCGCCTGCCTGGCCTGGGTGTGCCAGAGTCTGGGCTGCACCATGGGCTGGGGTCTCTGCCTCATCTCTTGTATCACATCCTGGAGCAAAACTTGCCCATGTTGGGTTTGCCCATGGGCCTCAGCATAACTGCCTTAAACCCCATCCTGCCCCCCCCAAGGTTAACCCCACCCAGAGATTTCCTTCATGGGAGCTGGGAGATGCCACTGGGATTGTGCTCAAGGGCTCTATAAGCTTGTCCCTTCTTGTGCAGTGCTCTCCCTCGGTGCATCCCAGGTGCTTAAGAGCAGTCTGGAGAAGCTCTGGCTGGTTTGATGGGAAGGTGAAACGTGAGTGACATCAGTGTCCCTGGTTTTCCAAGCCCCATGCAGCTCAGCATCCTGTGCCCTGCAGCAGCAGGCTGTTACCCTGGTTGTGTCTCTGGTGTGTCCTGGAACAGGAGCAGGGAGGGTCCATCTGCCTCTCCTGCAGCCTGCCCCATGGTTTGGGGTGTGAAGTGGCCTCTCCAGCCATGTTTCACCCACTTTCTCATGTCAGCCCCACAGGAGCACCAGCACTTGCTCCTTGGTAAGGGGAAGAGAAGGGGCAACAGTCCCCAGCAGAGCCACTGGCTGCTGCCTTCCCCAGCACTACAGACTGCAGCGAAATACGGATCACAGCATCTTTTCCTTTCTGTGGGTGGGGTGTTTTTCCTTTCCACTCTTGTTTTAACATCAGGTGCTCAAAACAGAGCACAGGAAGGCTCAGCCTCCTTGAAAACATGACTGGAGCCTCTTGCAAGGCCCCAGAACACCTGGAAGGATGTGTGCTACTCGGAGTGGAAACATGGCACTTGGCGCCAGCCCCGGCGTCGCTGAGGGGCCTGACCCTGCTCTGCCGCTGGCTTTAATTCTCCCCTCATTAATGGGTGGTTCGGTAGCAGTGATGCAGTCACTCACACACAGCACAGGCCCCTGTGTCAGCCAAGGGTGGAGGCAGCTCTGGCTTTGCGAGCTCCCTGCCCACACAGCTGGAGCCACACAGGAGCGATGCCAACATGGATTGCACTTTACTGGAATAGAGGCACTTCTCAGCAGCTGATTGCTAAAAAACTTGAGGGAAATTTGATTACTCTGGTGCGAGACCGTAGCACAGGGAGCTTGGAAAAGGTGGGAGTCATGAGAAGTATTTGCATTGCCATCTGCATCTGCTTGGGGGTCACTGAGCCGCATTGCTTTGGCTGCAGCTGGAACCAGCAGCAAGTCCGATGTTGGGGGTTTCTTCTTCACATTGGTGTGTCTCAGTTCAAGATGTAGAGCTCAGCAGTGGAAATCCAGATTGCTCTTCGCGCACTCACCTCTTGCTCAAAGTGTTTGGTTTTTGGATGATCCCTGGTGCTGCAATAGCCAGGGTCAGGCTTGGAGCACTGCAGTTGGCTGGGATGAGGCTGCGTGTCGGGATCACGGTGCATGTCATGGGACGGTTGCTTCCTGGGAATGGAGGACTGGGATGGAGGCCCCCTGAAGGGAAAGGATTTGGGAGTGAAGGGCTGCTGTATGTCACTGGTGGCAGCTGCACGGGGCGGGACATGCTGGGCAGTAGCAGTGTTGCAGGAGATGGAGTCCCATAGAGCCAGCAAGAGCATCTCGTTCCCCATGTGCAGAGCTGGTGCTGCCCCTCTTCCTGCTGCTGCGGCTCTTTCCCAAATCGCCTCTAAAATCACTCCAGAGTAAGAGACTCGTGATTCACAGCCCAGCTCTCTGCTCCTGAGACACCCCAGGACCTGAGCTGTCCTTGGGCTTTCTTCCACCATCAGGGAGGAGAAGGGCATTTCTGGAGACCGCTCCCAATGTGCCACCTTCCTGAACCTCCTCTGCAACCCATCGCCCTCTTGGGATTCCCATGGAGTCCCAGGATAACTCTGAAGCTCAGGTCAGGTTGCACGGCTCATCCCAGCTCCGGAACACGCAGTCTCCGCCAGCCCAGCCCCAAGGAGCCAGGAGGGCCCCTTGGCAGCTGCACCTTTCCCAAGGGAAAGGCCTCTTCCCCTTTCCCGTGTTTCTGCTGCTTCTCCCAGGGGCTGGGGGTTGTGGGTGCCGGCTGCGGAGCGAGGTTTTTTGTCTCATTCACTGTAAATAGCATCGTCTGCGGTGACCCGGCCCCCCGGGGCCCCGCTGGTGTCGCACAGCCCCTGTCCCCCCCGCGCCGTGGTCGTGAACCTGCTCCGTGAGCACTGGGTGTGAAATGAAACCATCAAAAACCGAGAGGAAAGAGACTCCATCAACACGAGCACAATGTCGAGGTTTTGTAAAAGGATCCAATAAATGGAGAGTTTAACTTGAGCGTGTCTGCGTGTCTGCTCCACGGGGGCTGGGGGAGAGGGGAGGGGGCCAGGACGGGGCTTGCAGCAGCAGCAGAGCTCCTGGGGCACCCCAAAAATACAATCAATTATAGAATCAATCCCGGGTTGGAGGGGACCTCAAGGATCATCTGGTCCAACCTTTCTTGGCAAAGCGTGGCCTAGACTGGATGGCCCAGCGCCATGTGCAGCTGGATCTTAAGTGTCCAACACTGGGGAGCCACCACTTCCTTGGGGAGATTATTCCCATGGCTGATTGTTCTCATGGTGAAAAATCCTCTTCTTGTGCCTAGTCGGAATCTCCCCAGCAGTAACTTGTGCCCATCACCCCTTGTCTTTTCCATGTAACTCCTTGTAAAAAGGGAGTCTCTGTCTTCTTTGTAGCCACCCTTTAAACACTGGAACATGGGGATAAGGTCTCCCCTGAGCCTTCTCTTCTCCAGGCTGAGCAAGCCCAGCTCTCAGCCTTTCCTCACACAGCTGCCCAGTGCTTGGATCACCTTTGTGGCCCTTCTCTGGACCCTCTCCAGCCCATCCACATTTTTTGTGTACAGCAGGGATCAAAACTGCACACAGTATTCCCAGTGTGGCCTGACAAGCTCTGAGTAGAGCAGGACACAGACATCTTTATCTGCTGGTGATGCCCTTTCACCAGCAACCTGTTGGCTTTCTTTGCCACAGCTGCACACTGTTCACTCACATTGAGCTTGTGTCCCATAGGACCCCCAGGTCCCTTTCCACAGAGCTGCTCCCCAGCCAGGCAGATCCCTGTGCTGCACTCCTGGATTTTGCTTACCCAAGGACTCTTGTCCATGTTGAACTCCATAAGGTTTGTGATAGCCCCCTCTTCCAGCTTATCCAGTTCATCCTGCAGGGTGGCTCTCCTTCCCAAGTGTCCACTTCCCCACTTCCCCACTCACTTCCACGTTGCCTTTTTTTTCATTTCCTCATGAGGGTTTGTACATTGGGATGGGGGAACACGGGAGAGGAGAAAGGGAAAAATGCCCGTAATAATTCATTCCCTTCTATCAGGATGGAGGGCAGGAGAAGTGCTTTACACTTTACACTCCACTCCTCCACACTCGGTGTCCTAAATGTTCCCCTGCAGATGACACATTCCTCAAGGAAAAGCAATTTCACTGACGTTGTTCCCTATGTTTCTGCCTATCAGTGCCATAAAAGCAACCAGCTCCTAAGAGATGGAGAGCATCGCACCTTCCCACAGCCCTGCCTTGTGCCTGGCCACCCTGAGACAGGCAAGTAGAAGGAAATTAATGGATTTGGTTTGGTCTTTTTTCCCTTGGCTGGAAATGCAGAAAGCGTCCTGCAGGCCTGGACACCAGCAGCAACACAAAGCCAAGGTCACACTGGGTCCATCACTCCCAGCTTCAGTAACTGACTGCTTCTCCAGGGCAGCCTGCACCACTTGTCTGTTTAAAAACAAAGGGGAAAACAAGCTTAAATCCAGGAACATGAGGTGTTTTGGGAGTGGGACTGGTGGGAACAGGGAACTCCCCAAATCCCTACCTGACCACTTTGGGGCTGACCAAGTGTTAAAGCCTGTTGTTAGCGGTATTAGGAGCCCTCATTTGGGCTTAAAACCCCTGGGCAGAGCAGAGTTTTGCCCATGATGCGACCAAATGGCTGCAGGATA